GGCTCTCTTGGGGCTTCTCGTGGAGGTATGTTGGAAGTGAGTGGGGCTGTGGGGTCTAGATCAGGGCTATGTTGAAGGCTTTGCTGCTGTTACGCTACTTGTTTTGCGGCCATGTTGGTCCACTTGGCTGCTTTTTCTCTGCGGTTTGACTTGCCTCAAGAGAGCCCCAACATTGGGTGAAATGCGCCAATTTGGAAAAAGATATGCCCCAAGAATGCAGGCACAAACGTGCACCAATTTTGACCACCCGCTAGAGCAAGCTTGCATCCACGAGAAGGCTCAAGAGAGCCCCAACATCGGGTGAAATGCGCCAATATGGAAAAGGATATGCCCCAAGAATGCACCAAGATCGCCGAAGATTGGCACAAACGTGCCCCAATTTTGACCACCCACTGGAGCAAGCTTGCATAAGCAACAAAAATTACAAATAACAGTCAAAACCAACTTCCTTACACTTGTCGGACCTCATTTTTCATGGTACAGAATAATTTTCTATAGTTCTTCTCGTGGAGGTATGTTGGAAGTGATTGGGGCCGTGGGGTCTAGATCAGGGCTATGTTGAAGGCTTTGCTGCTGTTATGTCACTTGTTTTGCGGCCACGTTGGTCCACTTGGCTGCTTTTTCTCTGCTGTTTGACTTCGGCGCGTGCTCTTTTTCGTAGCGCGGGTAAAACACTGTAAAAACAATGAAAACATGAGGTCCGACAAGTGTAAGAAAAGTGGTTTTGATAGTTTTCTTTGTCGTTTTTGCTGCTTTGTCTTATGAAAGCTTGCTCCAGTGGGTGGTCAACTTCGGGGCACGTTTGTGCCAATCTTCCGCGATCTTGGTGCATTCTTGGGCCATATCCTGTTCCATGTTGCCCAATGTTGGGGCTCTCTTGGGGCTTCTCGTGGAGGTATGTTGGAAGTGATTGGGGGCCGTGGGGTCTAGATCAGGGCTACGTTGAAGGCTTTGCTGCTGTTATGTCACTTGTTTTGCGGCCATGTTGGTCCACTTAGCTTCTCTCCTGCTGGACTTCGGCGCGTGGTCTTTTTCGTAGCGCGCGTAAAACACTGTAAAAACAATGACAAAATTGAGGTCCGACAAGTATAAGAAAAGTGCTCTTGATAGTTTTCTTTGTCGTTTTTGCTGCTTTGTCTTATGAAAGCTTGCTCCAGTGGGTGGTCAAATTCGGGGCACGTTTGTGCCCATCTTCGGCGATCTTGGTGCATTCTTGGGACATATCCTTTTCCATATTGGAGCACTCCAAAGAATGTTGGGGCTCCCTTGAGGCTTCCCGTGGAGGTATGTTGGAAGTGATTGGGGCCGTGGGGTCTAGATCAGGGCTATGTTGAAGGCTTTGCTGCTGTTTTGGTCCACTTGTCTGCAGTTTGACTTGGGCGGGTGGTTTTTTGCGTAGTCCGTGTGAAACGCAAAAAAATGAAAAATGCGGTCCGACAAGTGTAAGAAAGGTGGTTTTGAGAGTTTTTTGGTCGTTTTTGTTGCTTACGAAAGCTTGCTCCAATGGGCGGTCAAATTTGGGGCATGTTTGTGAAAATCTTCGGCGATTTTGGTGCATTCTTAGGGCATATCCTTCTCCATGTTGGCACGTTTCGCCCAATGTTGGGGCTCTCTTGAGGCTTCTCGTGGAGGTATGTTGGAAGTGATTGGGGCTGTGGGATCTATGTTGAAGGCTTTGCTGCTGTTATTTTACTTTTTTGCGGCGATGTTCGTCCACTTGGCTGCTTTTTCTCTGCCGTTTGACTTGGGCAGGTAGTCTTTTTGCGTCATGTGTGTATAACATCGTAAAAACTGGACAGACTTAGGTCCGACAAGTGTATGGTTTCTCTGCCGTTCGACTTGGGTAGGTGGTCTTCTGCGTAGTGTGCGTAAAACACCGTAAAAACCGTGAACAAATTAGGTCCGACTACCCTGCAGCAATAAAATGTTGCTGCTCCGTCTCCCGGTGTGGGACATATCCCTTTCCATATTGGAGCACTCCACCCAATGTTGGGGCTCTCTTGAGGTATGTTGGAAGTGATTGGGGCCGTGGGGTCTAGATCAGGGCTATGTTGAAGGCTTTGCTCCTGTTATGTTACTTGTTTCGCCCAATGCTGGGGCTCTCTTGAGGCTTCTCGTGGAGGTATGTTGGAAGTGATTGG